AATAATTTGCTAAACCTAGAAAACTTTGTAGAGAACTGATATTTTCAGGAGGAGGCATGTCTTTTATAACACTGGCTCATGCTGGATCTGGTATCCTGCCATTTTTGTCAATTATTTTTTGCGAATATTTGATTTTATTCATAAAAATTCGCATTTTTCATTTTTCAACTTGAATCCATAGTCCTGAATCCTTTTGAAATCCTAAAAACATTTTTCTTGTGTTCTTCTGGGTTTCCACTTTTCAGCAAAATATTGTCTAGATAAGTGATTGCAAAGTCAAGTCCACTAAGCATCGTATCCATTACTTGCTGAAAAATAGATGGGGCAACCTTTATTCCGAAAGCCAAACGACTGAATTTATACATTCCTCGATGTGTGTTTATCATAAGTAATTTGGCACATTTGTCGTCCACTTCAATCTGAAGATACCCATCGCTTAGGTCAATTTTCGAAAATATCCAATCCCCACTAAGTTGCGCAAAAAGCTCTTCTGTCTTCAGAAGTGGGTAATGATAACTTGAGGGCATCATTTAAGCTCATAGAGAAATCCGCACAAACACGTATCTTTTTCTTTATATATACCATTGGTGAAGCCCAATCGCTATAGTCAACTTTAAATAAAACACTCATTTTTTTGAGTCTGTCAAGCTTATCATTGATCTGTTTTAACAATGCAAAAGGTACATTCCTTTTCTTTTTGAAAACCGTTTGTACATTTCCCTTTAGTTCGAATTTAGCTTTAATTTTATAACCCACCAGAAAATACCTCTGAGAATTTAATTTTCAACTTCTTCATTGGTAAAACTTTTAATTTAGTTATGGAAGAGTCTAATCAGTTTGTTTTGTCAACAAACTGATTAGACTGTTCCATAACTTAAACTGCTTCATCCTGTCCATTCCAAAAAGGTTATTTGTATTTTTTATTACAGTCTTCCCGTTCAATGTTACATTTGTTATGAATTTTATTTTCTGTCTTATAACACTATGAACGATTTTCTTGGTAACCATTAACATTGGTTTTCCTATTTTTTTCCAAGTATATACATTTATTATGCTTAAATCCACTATCCAATTGTAATTTGATATTTTTGTTAAGGATTTTTACCTGCACAAATTTCCTTATATTCCGACCAGCAGATTCATTCACATAAGTAACTTTAATGTAGTTATTCACTTGTTTTTTTACTTTTACTTTACAGTGAGTTTTCTTATGTCCTTTTCTCTTGCAACAAAAACATTCTTTATTTCTGTATGGACAGTCATTATAAAAATATAGTTTTCCACATGTATAACAGGGATTAGGAGAAATTCTTTTTTCTTCTTCACTTTATTTTCTTGACATACTTCTTAAATGTGTGACACACACTGCTTACTTCGATATCTTTGGCATCTTGTCAAATATTTATAGACCTCTGACAATCTTCTGTTAGGTTTTGTAAAGTCAGATTGGGTTCGTTTTCAAGTTTATTTAAAACCCTTCTGATTTCAGCATCTTTTGTTGACGCCAACCCTTGAACAAATATCAGGCATTTAAAATTGTCATGGCTTAATTCTGCCAGTTTGAATCTCTCACACTGATCGTTCACAATGCTAGCAAATGTTATGAAATCTTTTATGAAAAAACGTCTTTGGGCTGAACACATCAGAAAGAAAAGTAAACATTTCTTTAAATGTTAGGTCACTAGTTTTCCTTGGTAATATGTTATTTATGAACTTTGCGTGTTCAACAGTGCTTAGTTTCCTTAGCACTAGCCTCTGACCTTTTTGTGGTCGGACCAATTTGCACAGTTTGTTTTGTAAAGGTCTTCGTATCTATGGAAATACAACAAAAATGTTACCTCTTCTTCTGGCATATGATTGAATTCAGCATTTGCATTTACAATAGCGTCCTGTGAAAAAACACCTGAATCTTCATTCTTGTTACTTGTTGACATTTTCTGTTGTTGTTCTACAAACAATTCCTTGAATTTTTCAAGTCATTGTTCGTAATGTCTCCGTTGATTGTCTTGTTTCAATATTTCCAGTAAAGCAGTTTTAAAATCCTTCATTTCGTACTGTTATGTGAACTAAATTTGCTCAAAAGTGTTTTTAGGAGACAGTTATGTAAATCTTTCTACTAATTAACTTCCAACACGTTCACAACAAGAAACCCTCTCAACAATACATGATTTTTGTAAATTGAAAAATACAATTTTTCAATTTCATGTACCTTTCATTATGCTTTTAGCTCATTGAATAATATCCCATATTTTTCTGAATGTTGTATTTCGAACAACTTGGTTGTTTGAAATACAACATAATCTACATAATCCTTAGAAAATCCTTGTAGCCAAAAATGTTTTGTAGCTTTAGTAATTTTTTGATCTTCCTTTGCCAATGTAGCCTTGGTGAATTTTTACGCGAGTTTTGCTGATAAAAGAACATCATAGAACATTGTATTCGTGAACATTTACGTGAGTTCTTTTCTGTCAAAATCTCTGTTTGTCAAACGTTGTACTGGTGAACATTTACTCGAGTTCGGCCAAATCCCTGTCACCAAAATGTTGTAACCTAGAAAAGGTTACTGAATGAGGAATAACCAAAACAGAGGTTGGAAATAAAATGGTAATCTTTATAACATAAACAAAATACAATACTCGCCAGTGGCATGAAGTAGGTAAACAACTGCTGGTGGTGGAATACTTAGCATATTACCCCCACTTACAATAGTGTCCAACATATTTATGAGTATTAGTGTTCATAGGTATGGTATATAACAATAATATAAACTTTTAGCTAAAGAAGAATGCCTTTATTTGGCTCACACTTATCAAACCCCAAAAATAAAATGATTAACTTGTGGAACTTGTGCATGTGTTGGTTTTGGGTTTCCTCTTAAAAGTTATATTGTTAAAGAGGATACAAAGGAAAAAATGGTAGCATCTAGAGTTACAATGTTAAATAATATTTGTTAAAACATCAATTTTCACAGTATCACCATTCTGTGATATTTTCATTTTTTCAATATGTCCCTTCATTAAAAACTATTGTTTTAATTTTTTGTAATTAAAGTTGAATTATGTAAGTTAATAAAATATTGTTTTCTTGTGTAAATTCACTTCTTTTTTTTATTTTTAGATATATTATTCTCTTAATTTTACTGCCCATTCACAAAATATTAATTTCCCTAATAGTAAGTCATACTAAGTCTAAGATCATGTAATTTAACTTTTTTTTCTCTTGCTATACAGACTGGCATTTTTAAAATTTCAATGCCAGTCAAAGATTTCTGGTTCTAAAGATATGATCATTGGTTACACTTTTTGAACATTCTGTATAGTATTTTTTTTTTTTTAAAGAGAAAATAGGTTTATTTCTATAAAAGATATTTCAACTCAATTCTATATATTCTTAGACTATTAAGAATGAATCCATTTAAGCCAAAATCTTATCATGAAACACAGACGATTCTGTGGGGAAAAAATTATTTTAATTTTATGGCAGGCTATAATATTAAAATTATGATGTCAACTTACAAGATTTCAAAGAAATATTGGCAATATGATGAAAGAAAATTCTTTTTATTAAATTCACTTCTATGTTTAGGTTTTATTAAAATTCTAATCATTGTTTTTTAAAACAGTATTGCTGAGGAGCGAATGTTATAAAAATAATAGACATCAAGAGAAAAACCATGCTTTTGATAAACTATTTTTTTTTTTTGCGGGCACAAAGGTTAAACATAACCAAAATATTGATGGTGTCTAAGCAAGTTAAAAATGTATGACAAAGCTAGAAGAAAGAAAAACTAAATTCAAAGCAGTTGACAAGAAAAACATCTCTTTTAGAAGGCCTATAGTTTTACATAATGCTACATCAGTTTTTGAACAACATTCTATGTGAAAAATTAAAAATTCTTTTTCTCAGTACAGACAGACATTTCTGAAAATATCTGCTCATGATTTAAAAAGCCTCCAATTTACTAAAATGTTTTAAGAAAGAAAATTGAGCTTAAAATATAAGCAATTTTAAATTTACACAATTCTTAATACAATTAACATAGCTTATCATTTTTTAAATTGCTCTGAAATGAATTAGTGGGACAAGATAAACACCTAAGCAATGTTTCATTTAACTGATACTGCTTGACTAGACTCTTCACTAACTGAAGAATTCCAGTAAGGGAGCTCATTATATACTAACACACTAGGATTAATTATATAAACAAAAGATTTAGGGATTACAGGAATAATTGTAGTCTAAGATGGACAACTCTTGATCAATTAATAATGATATATGTAGTGTGTGTGTGCATATATATAATAGCCCTTTTCAAAGTTGACAATAGAGGTTTTTGTTTCTATTGATTGAGAGTGTGTTTCTGTTACCCATCATGCTATGGTCAAATGATTTAATCAAAATATCTAGCAATGGAGCAAAGTGCAGGAAGAAGAGGATATATGCTTTTTCAACGAAAAAAAAAAAATGAACATAAGTAACCTTGATCAAAATTTAAATTCAGTTTGTTAATTTTATTTTCCAGGATAGTAAATGTTATATCACTAAGTATAGAAAATTTTACTTAATGTTTTTATCCACATTCCTAAATAATTTAAAAAACAATAAAAATCTTTTTTGAAATGGGGCTTTCCACTTTGTACCCTGATGTTAACTACCAGACCAGAACTATATGCAAGTATAATGAGTAGATAATTATCAATCAAGGAAAATGAGATTTTATATATAATTTAAAACTCACGTACAAACATGTATATTTTATACCAAACTTAAACTTTGATTTGCTTTTAAGATTTCTAATTTTATAAATTTCTTTTATTAATTTTAATACAGAATTTTTTCATTGTGTCTCTTGCCTGTAACAATTATGTCAACAGGATGAGGTGTAATTTGAAACTTTTTCTCAGATTTTCAAAACAAAACAACGAAATACTTGGATCTTAAGTTATTATGAGTGACAAAGTTTAAAATATATAATTAAACATAGTAATAAATATTTTTACCTGTGAGTATGCAGGTGGCTGATCAATGGTACACTTTTGGTTACCAAGAACAGTTGTTCTTTCACTGAGTGTCTCACCAACCAACAGAAAACCGTCTTCCTCACGGTCACTATCTCGGTGTTCAGGTGCAGTAGAGGGGTCAGAGTTAAAATAAGATCCACCAGGTTTTAATTTCACCAACCAGGAAAACATTCTTCCGAGAATAATCTAAAATTCAAAGTACATTTCAGCCATAATTAAAATTGCCTAACACATAGCATGATTTCTTCTATTATTTGATATTAGAATCATGAGAAAATTCAGCATTAAAAATAATTAAATTTATTATTAAATTTCATATAAAATAAATTCCTCCATGTTTACTTTAAAAATATAAATACATACTGGAGTTTTTTTTTGTTTATTGGGGATGGGTGGGGGTACTATTCTGAAAAAAAATAAATGTAAATTTTAATTTGACTTTTTTTAGTTTCTTTCAAATTATTTTTTTATTTGTTGAAGAATTTGACTTAGAATTGTTTTTTTTACATACAAATAGTTTGGTACTCCCTTGCTGATGGCAAGATGATCAAATTTCAAATCTAAATTGTAGTATTTTAAATAAACAAACATTTATTAAAAATATATCCTATTTAAATACAGAAGGAGTCATAAAAATGACATCAAAGGGATAGACATTTTGGTTTATACTTTTTTCCTGTTACCTAGAGATTAGTCCTTAAGACAGATATGTTTAATTTCATTCAAATTGTGAATGTTATAAAATTTTATGTGAAAAAAAATGCCCCTTACCCCTACCTAAAAGACTTTATTAACTAATCAGGTATTTTTCTTGATAAGCCTTGATTTTGAGCCTGGTGATGGTCTATCTGGCTAAGAGCAATAAAAATCAAATGTTTTTGGAAAAAAAATGACTAAGAACAACAGGATTGGTAAACAAGGTCAATATGAAAATCCCTACTCATTCACGCTTGTCAGGATGGATATTCAGACATGGGAACAATAATATCAATTAACATTTTCAACTGAGAGTAAAAAGAACTTTAAATACTGAAAGGTCAACCAAAAAACCTGGTTAACATAACCAAAAGTAAAACTGAAAATTTGTTCTTCTGAAACTACCCCCAAGCATCACAGATAAGCCTTCCCCCAAAATCACAACACTGCTACCATTATTTTTCATTCAACATTATTCTCTACTACTAAGACTGACTTTGATTCCTGACAGGTCAGAAAATTACCAAGGAAATTTTTTTAACTTTATGAATTGTTTAAATAAGTTTTTTGTGGTACAGAATTTAATAATAGCGAGGAAAAGACCAATTTTATAAGGCATTTTTAAAAGAAAAAAACAATTTCGTCCCAGGACTTATCAAGTTTATTTTTCTGGGAATAGAAAATTTATAAAAGCGTGTAAATTAAATTAACAAATGGAATGGAATGGAATGGAAAAAAAAAAAAAAAAAAAAATTGAATTTCAAGAAACTAGAGTCCAATAACATTCAGACCCAGTAAGCATTCCCTCTGTTTACAAAGGGAAGGCTCACGGGATCTGATATACAAGGACTCTAGAACTTTGAGTGGGACCTAGATAAAATCAAAAAACGGTCCACACTAAAATTAAATTAAAGTTATTTTTTTTTTAGCTTTTTCTTTTAAAAATGTCTTATAAAATTGGTCTTTTCCTAGCTATTTATCAATTGTGTACGTCCCACTTTCACATGAACATTTTTTTTCTCTACCCAGATTATTTTTTATTAAGTGTTCAAAAGAATATTTATTATACCCTTTTTTCCTTTCCACTTAAATATATTGTAAATAATCATATTCTTTCTGTTAAATTCCACACTGTGTAAGATTCATTCTTTTTGTGCACATAATTTTTTTCCTATATATGTATGTTTATGTATATTTTAATTTAATGACAGCCCTAAAAATATTTCTACAAAATTAAAAAAAAAAAAAAAAGAAAACTTAAAGATAATTTATTACCAAATAATTTCCAAAAATTCAATAAAATCTTTTGATTATCTGATTTTTTTTAAGGTTTAAAATTTGACATGTTTTTCACCAAGAAATTAGTTGTTACGCCCCCGCCCCCACACACACACTCATTCCACTTGTGTCCTTTTTACCTGAATTCACTTTTTGCAACTATTAATTTTTTTTTCCTAAATTTAACCAAAATTCACTTTATAAGTAATAAACTAGACATTTACTTTATGGTCATTTCTATGTTATAGGTACCAATAAATAGATTGGAATAGACTGATACATATATATCATTGATATCAATAAATAGAAAACTGTAGAATAATTATCAATAAGATACTAAGGTTCTCACTAAGTAAGAGAAAGAAAAGATGATTATTTTTACTTATTTTTTAATTTTATTCCACAGACATACACATATGTAAACAAAGAGGCAGTTTGATGAAAATTAAGCTGTTGATAAATTTATCTATGGTGTTGTTTTTTTAGTCTGTGACAACTGACTTATTAGTAGTCAATGAGAGTAGAAATGGGAGGTCTCATTAGAGAATGGGAGACTTCCACAAATAGATACTGGAGGACATAAATTACCTCCTCCGTAATTATATAAACAGCTGAGTGGCCAGTGGCCAAGTATATTTTTGTATTTGTATTTCGTCAGTACAAGAATAAAGTAATTCAGAATTACTACTATCATTGCTGCTGTGGTTATTTTACACTACAGTCACTTGGCTCTATGCAAAATAGGGCAAGTCCATTTTGCCCATGTCAAAACACCTCCTGGAAACAAAGAGTTTTTATGCCCTTTGTTGATCTGTGACTTCTCCAAAAGATAGCATGGGATTTTATCTCTCTCTTTCTCTCTTGGCATGTATCTAGTTCTTTTTATTGGGGATCTAGATCTGGATTCATCTTCATTCTGATCTTCCACCTCTGTGTTAGAGTTATCTATACTATCCTCCATACTTTCTTTACAACTATGTTCACTTTCTCCATCAGAAGCACTCATGCTTACTTCCTTTCAAGTAACTCCTCCACCTCCATCTCAACTTCTTTGTCATCAGTTATTTGTTCAGAATGAGCCATTTGTTGCTATTATAGCCATACTATGTCCCTTTTGTACAATAAAGTTAACCTTTCCAGGGTTTAATTCTCTGTCCTTTTTTTACCACATTTTTTCATTTGTTGAATAGGATATTGTTATAGGTGATCTTGAAATTGTTTTTCTGCTGCCACAACTGAGGAGGGACAAAATGAACAGCAGCACTGGAGACAAACATTCCACACAAGAATGGCACAAGGCAAGAATTCCACACACGAATGGCACAAAGGTTGAATGTAACCAGGACACAGAAAGTGATGACAAATGAATAGGAAATCAGAATCATGATATTCTGTACAAGAGTAATACTGGAGACTCACTTCTTCTGATGAAGCAGAAATCCATCTGTTTATATTGAATCCAGAAACATCAGTAATCTCATTATGCACGACACGTATTATTTGCATAAACAAATTCTAGGCACTACTCAGCCTACCATGACCATATTTTTTGCAAGCAGATGTCCTTGGGTTTGTGCCAGCTATCATCACCTGCATATGCAGCACACCAAGCATTGTCTTGTTGATTGACAGGGATAGGTAGCCTCATCAAAAGTAGCTGGCAGTTCATCCTGTCTTTCACTTCCACTACAGATCTAATTTGTCTTCTCATCAGTGCAGAGGGACTTTGCATTCTACCCGCATGTTTAATAGTTCTATAACTCAGTAATAGTCTCGGTAGATAACTATCTATAGTGTCTCTGGATGAGGAAAATGCCTTCAACCCCATTTTCACCTTCTACACCATTCTTTCTGCAATTCCGTTCGATTGAAGGTGGTATGGTGCATTTTATAAGAGAGGGATCCAACTTGCTTTAACCATGAACACAAAGTTTTGTCTCAAAATTTTGGTGCATTGTCAAATACTAAAGTTTTTAGCACTCTATTTCTGGAAAATATTACTTGTAATATTTGCTTTACCATGGCTGCCTACCTATCCTGAACTCTAACCACTTCAGGCCATCAAGAGAATGAATCAAACAAAATTAAAAGTAGTCCTATGCCTTTAACCTGCACATGATCCATATGAATGCAGGCCCATGTCTCTTTTTCTTTAGGCCATGAATGTATCTTAGTTTGTCAAAAGCTTTTTATTTTCATACATTTTGGGCATTTTTGTAAGTATTTTTATTCATTGTGTGAATACCCAGGCCATCATACTTCCAATTTTAATCTACACTTTTTATTACATCTTTTCTTAATATCTTTGGTGGTATTAAAACAGCTCTATTGCATATAATGCCCTTCTGTATAGTTAATCTGTGCCCTATCTTTTTATAGGGTTCTCCACCCTAGAAAAATCATGCCATTTGTTTCTTTTTTATTCTACATGCAATCTTGCTTAATAATGGATTCTGCAAGGTTTCAAATGCAAGACAATCTAAAGGTAATACATCTATTTCAATCCAGTACAATATTTTATCTTCTGAATTGTCTGATCTTTCTAATGGTTCTTTTTTGAACTTTGGTCTTGATAGAGCACCTATATGTAGAATAGTGTTTCCTTTCACATATTCAATGTTGAAGTCAAAGGCCATGAAATTTATGGCCCATGTTAAAATTCTAGATGTGACTTTAAGTAACTCCTTCTTGGGGTTAAAATAATCTCTAAAGGTTTATGGTCAGATTTAAGCAGGAACTTCCTGACTAATAAAAATTGGTGAGCTCTATCTGTGCTTCATATCATAGCTAACCTTTTTTTTTCAATATCTGAATTGTCAGCTGACAGGCACATTATAGGTTGACCTTCTTGAGAGAAAATCACTGATATGTCACACTCGGTTGCATCCATAGTTAAAGTCATTTCCTGTTTAGGCTTAAAAATTTTTTCATTGTTCATTTTTAAATTTTTCAAATGCTGTATTCTGCAATTCAGTCCATTTAAAATTGCTGTTTGTTTTGTAACTCTGCAAGGGGTTCTATCAATTCATTAGATTTTGGCAAATATCTGCTATGAAAATTGGCTAACCCTAAAAAAGATTCCAATCCTTTTATTTGTAGGTGTAAATACCTCTGTTATCTTCTTTACCAAATTGATGTCTGGTGAAATTCTGTTTTTGGAAATCTGGTATCCTAGATATGTTCTTGTGTTGTAATTTAACACACATCTTTGT